CCGGTCCCGCCATGGGCGGCGGGGCGGCGCGGCCCCGCTGATCCCCGGCTGCCCGGACAAGCCCAGCTCTCGGTCCCGCCCGGGAACTCGGCTCCACAGCATCCCGGCGCCCTGGGAGCTCGGTACTCTAGCATCCCGCGAACGCGGTACTCTGGCATCCCAGGAACTCGGTACTCCGACATCCCAGGAGCTCCCCTCCACAGCATCCCAGCGCCCCGGGAACTCGGCTGCGCTGACCCCAGCTCCTCGCTAACCCGGTACTCCGGCTCCCCGGGAACTCGCACCGGCATCACCCCAGTTTCCTGGTAACTCCCTGCTCCTGGCACTCCCGGCACATCGGCTCACTCAGTACCCCGTAACTCAGCAACCCCATCCTTCCTGCTCCTCGGTACCCCGAACCCCCGTCTCCCCACTAACTCCAGTCCTCCCAGCTCTGTAGTAACCCCACACCCAGGCTCCCCGGCCCCCCGGGACAGCTACCATGGCGTTCATGGTGAAGAGCATGGTGGGGGGGCAGCTGAAGAACCTGACGGGTGGCCTGGGAGGCGAGGAGAAGAGCGAGAGCGAGAAATCTCCAGCCGAGGCGCAGGGCATGACCCGCGAGGAGTACGAGGAATATCAGCGGCAGCTGGTGGAGGAGAAGTAAGCACAACCGGCACCGGGTACCAGGGTGGGCTGGACCCCTGGGGGTCCCAGTGGGGGACGGGGCGCTCCCTCTGCAGCACCCCATCCCGTGCATGGGGAGAGACAGTGCTGTGGGCGGCAGGGCCATGAGGGAGTTTAATGAAACCCCTAATCCCTTAATCCGCTTCCTCGCCCAGGAGATGGGATTGTTTTCTCCTTTCAAGCTGCGCTGGGGGGAGGAAACTGTGGGGAACTGGGACTTTGGAGAGGAGCTGAGGGGTACATGGTGGTGGTGGGGCGGGTAGAGATGCTCAAACGCAGGGACTGTGGGGGCACCAGCTGCTGGTAACTGCCCTGTGTGCTTCACAGGATGGAGAGAGATGCCCAATTTGCCCAGCGCAAGGCAGAGAGAGCCACATTCAGGTCCCACTTCCGAGACAAGTACAGACTCCCCAAGGTACGGCCATGCTGGGCATGGAGGGGGGGGCACATCGGGATCCAAGCCCCACGCAGGGGGGACAGGCGGCAGGGGCCACGGGGGGACAGACAACACCCCTGCTCTGCAGGGAGGGGAAGGGGCACTGGAGCCTCTTCGCTGGGTGAGTTTTGAAGCCACAAAGCCCAAGTGCAAAACAGTTCCCCTAAAAAGCATCCTTCTACCCAAATCTTGGCCCCCTCCCGCTATCCCCAGAGCATTGCAAGCCACCAGCCCCAAACAGCGGGACCCCCGCCACACACTTGCCCTGTTTGATCCCCTCTCTTCCTCTCTTTTATCCCCTAAATCCAGCTGGATCAGAGAAAGCTGCCTTCACCCCGTACTCCCAGCCCCGTAGCCAGGAGCAGAGCTGGAGTTACACCTGGCTGGATTAGCCAGCTCCTCACCCTGGATTATTTGGCAAAGGTTGCCCAGCTAAACCCCTATTTTGGAATTTCTGCCCGATGAATGATTCACTAGAAACAATTTAATCAAGGGCTAATTCAGACATTCTTGGAATTGCCACAAGCTCTTCTCCCCCTAGGCCCCCCCTTTATTCAGCAAGAGTCTCTCAGTGGTGAATACTCTAAATTGGAGCTGGGCTAATTTTAATTCAGAAAGGTCAGCTAAGCCAAGTGATATTGTTCAGACTGTTTGATATTGTTATGCCAGCCTGGACGCACGCCCCACTGCTGCTCACACCCCTTTTATCGCCAGGAAATAAAAACAGCTGGAGAATTTTATTTTTTCCCCCTGCCAAAAGCGAGAGCAGGCAGAAGACAAAGAGACGGAGATATTTTTTTTTTCCCCAGGGGAAACAGGGATTTGTTCAAATCTGGCCCCCTGATCCTTTTGCAACTGTCTCGTGCCTGAGATGTCCCTTCTAATCTTGTGACGAGTTTCTTCTGTTCATTACTAAATGTGCTCGGCAGCTGGGCTGCCTCTGGCAAAATCTCCCTGTGGCTCTCCAACGCAGAGCTGTCCCCCATCTCCGGTGGGTGCAGCCGTTAAGCATACGGGGAGATTAATTGGGTGCCTAAACCTCCCCAGCCACTCCAATGCAAGCTGAAAGCTGATTTATAGCAATGCTGGCATGCTTGGGTTATCACCTCGGCTCTTGCGGTACCCGTCGGTGCATGCCCGGGCTCTGCTCAGCCATGTCCCCTCTGGGTTGGCAGTGATGGAGTGTATGGGCACCGTCCTACCCACAGCATGGGGATGACTGTGAGCCCTGGGGACCCAGGCACGTGGACCTTAAAAATGGGAAGAAAAGCCAAAGCCCATGCAGACACTGCTGTGAACCTTGCACGTGCCGTTAGTGCCCCCAGGAGCCCCCCTTCCCACCCATGCATCCCACGCCTGACCTTCTCCCTGGGCCATTTCAGAATGAAACGGATGACAACCAGATCCAGCTGGTGGGAGGCGACGTGGAGCTGCCCAAAGAGCTGGCCAAGATGATCGAGCAGGACAACGAGGAGGAGGAAGAGAAGAACTCGGTCATCGGCCAGCTCAGCAACATCCAGAACCTGGACCTTGATTCCTTGAAAGACAAAGCTTCGGCCACGCTAGAGGACCTGAAGCAGTCGGCTGAGAAATGTGCCGTGATGTGACCCGCTGAACCCCCCCCCCTCCCCGTCAACATGACGGTGCGGGAGAAGGGAGGGGATGCAGCAAAGGGCCTGGCGGTGGCTGTTGCCTGCAGCGGGGACCCCACTGATGTTGTCACCCTTTGCCTTGTGTGAGTCAGGTCCTTCTGAGCCCTGTGAAGCCTCAAGTCCCTGACCCCAATGTCCCTGATGTGTGGGGTTTTTTGTTTTGTTCACTGGTCTGAAGGTTAGAGCCAAGAGCCAGCATGCATCCCCCTGCTGTACCCCAATGCCCCCTCCACTGCCCGTGGCAAAAGATGTCTTTAGCAAGAGCTGGGGAGGGGAGGGTTGCAAGGAAGGAGAGCCCCGAGTGACCTTGGAGTGTTATTGAACCACGCCAGCATGGGATGGCTCTCCAGCAGAGCGGTGGCCATACGCCGTGTCCCTGCCAACCCCTTTTGACCAAGCCTCCTAGAAATGACAGGGCAGCTCCAATTTGCTTTGCAAGGATGAGGCACGATGCAAAACGGTCCCCCTTCCCCCTGCCCCAATCCCATCCCCATCCCATGAGAAATAACACCCTGTCCGTGCAAGAAACACCAAATACCTTGCCCTTGAGGGCCCCTCTGGAAGGAGTCAGCTGGGAAGGACTGGCTGCATGGCCCCATTTAGCCCCAGTGAGAAAGGGGGGTGTTGAGGAGCGGAGGGCTGAATTAATGCCAGAGAGGAATCAAACCCCTCCCCCATGCTCAGCTGAACCCCCACCAGCTCACCCTCCCTCTCCCGGGGTGGGATCCCCTCCTGTCCTTGTTCCTTCCAGGAGAAGAACAAAGTGATAAGGGAAAACCTTCCCCCTCCTCTGTCCGTGCTGTGGTCGTGCGCTGTGCTCGGTTGAGTGTCTCTCCACCTTCTATGCCGTCCCCGTGCCGTGGTACTGTTGTAACCGGTGGAATAAATACCAGGAGATGTCTATGCATTTCTTTTTCTCCTCCAGCAGTGCTTTCCTGATGAAGGTGTTGGGGTGCCCCAAGGCACCAGGGGGTGTAGAGAGGCCAAGCGTGTCCCCTTTACGGGGCAGGGGGGAGTGGCGGTGGGAGCTCAAGGGACAAATGCCCCGCAGCATCACCCAGAAGAAGGCATTGTGCCCAGCTGTGGTCGGGTGTTTTGCCATGTTCCATACTGAAGGGATGCTACAAGCGGCTCTTTGTCAGCAGCTGGGTTTAAAAGCAAGCAACCCCCCCAGATTTCACAGGTGGTTTTTTTTTTTTTTTTGGCTATTTTAGTAAAAAGGCTTCAGATCACTCACCAGCTCCCCACCTCAGTGGGATGTCTGCCATGCTGCTCCGAGCAAGGACATGTCCCTCTGGGGATGGGACTGTGATAAGTACAGGTGGGAATTCAAGTTGGAGCAGCTCCAGCCTGCCGGCATCCTGGCGGGAGGCAGGCTCCTGCGATGAGGCTGCCTGGAAAGAGCTGGCACAGGCTGGGAATTTACTGCTCCAAATCCCAACAGAGCTGATTAACTGTATTTGCTTTTGCATGGAGGGGGGGTGTGGGTCATCCAGGAAAATGCAGGGGAGTGTGCTGGGAAGCTGGTTGTTGTTATCATTATTGTCGTCATTATTATTTTTATTATTATTACTACTATTATTGCAGCAAGGATGCTGGACCAGGCCATGCCTGGGGCTGCTGGGCTGAGCAAAGCTCCCCAGTACGGCCAGGAGGTTGCATTCAGCCCCCAGCACCCTGGTGATACCGTGCTGGGGCCGGGCAGTCCTGAGAAACTCCCGATACCCTCCAAAGCCAGAGGTGGTCTCACCCCTGGAAGGAAAAGAGCCTCCGCTTTGGCTGGCGGAACGGACAGACAGAGGCAGCTCAGCCTCCCGGCTGCAGCTCAGGCGTGGTGGAGGCTGGCGAGAAGGGAGAGGGAAGGTTGGCAGAAGCAGCTTTAGCTTTGAAAGGAGATCATACCCGATGAGGATCAGCCCGGGCTCATCTAATCCCCCAGCGGGAAAGGGATAGTGGAGAGCAGGCACTGGCCAAGCCAAGCCCTCCAGCCAGGCTTGGCTTTTAAATCGCCGGCTGATGGCAAGGCTTGATCTATAAAACGTCCCGTGGGCGAGTGGGACCCAGGAGGGAGATGGGGCTGGGGGATGCAGCCCTTGGGTTCATCCCCTGCCGTAAGCAGCATAACCCCACCGGGGCGCAGCCCGGACCCTCTCCCCCACCTTTTATTTTGCCCCCCTTCCCCGCCGCCGACCTTCGGCTCTGCTCCGCGCTCGCTGCCGGCCCACGTGCCGCCACGCAAAGGCCGCGTGAAGCTCGGCGGGGTTATTTTAGGAGGCACCATGACCCCCAGGCATGTGAAAAGCAAGCAGCACGCGCTTTCCCGCTTGGCTCCGCAAAGTGTTAAGCCTCGGCAAAGCGTTACCAGCAAAGTGGCATCAGCTCCGAGGGGGCTCCGAGACCGCAGCCCCTCTCCCATCGCTGGCCCGGTGCCCATACCAGGGAGCAGAGTTTGGGATGGGGGGAGCAGGGGCAGGCAGCCTGGCCCCCACCCATAGAGAGCTGCATCCCCTTTCACTGGCATTCCCTGCTGCCGTGTCCCCGAGCATCCCTGCAGCCCAGCATCCCGGCTGCCTGCGTGCCCTGTGACTGCTCCAGGCATCAACGCATGGGGGGCTAAAAAACTTAAAGCAAAGAATTAGTGCAGATTAAAGCAGAAAATCTGTTTTTTCTCCCCTACACTATAAGCCCCTATATAATTCCCTGACCTACGGGGCCAGGTTTGGGGTGGATTCATCGAGCAAGGCCTTACTGGGTGCTGGAGGATCTCTGCTGGCAGTGGAGCTCACGAATGTCCGCCCCATGGGTGGGCAGAGCTCCCACCCTCCTGCACCAGGCATGGAGCAACCCCACAGCGCACGGCTGCAGGATCGGGCCTCCTTTCTGCTGGTGAGCCCGGGGTGACGTGAGCGGATTCCCTGACGGCCAGAGCGTTAAATGAGCCATCGTTAAAGAGCCGAAACAAATGAACCGCCATCAAAGGACAGGGCGGGGGGGGGGATCTCCACCCAACACTTGTTTTTTTCTTTTTGCAGGCGATTAAATCTCCCTGCGAGCTGCTGTGGGAAGGGATGGCCCCATCCACCCCGCTGCAGCACCACCGCACTGCTGGTCCAGATATCGGGATTAATCCAGATTACAGAGGACAGATGAGAGCCTGGGATTGGCTCCACACACTGACCCAGCTCTCCCCAGCCCTCTCTTTCTTTGAAAGCCCGTGAACTCACATCACCGAGTGACCCGCGGGCTGGTACAGGGAGGGTGATAAACCCATCTGCCCCCCCCGCGTCCCTCCCTGCATGATGATCGGGACCCAAGAGCCGCCCCGTGAGCGATGCACGGGCGGATCCAGGTGGGAAGAGGAGGGCTGCAAGGGGCGAGGAGGCAAAACTGCTTTGACACACATCCCCGACGGGATGGGAGAAGGTGGCTGGAGCACAGCAGCTCTCGCTCCTCCCTGCCGCAGCTGGAGCCGCAACAGAGGCCACGGCCATGGAGCCGGGGACTGCTCGCTTCATGCCTCCTTCCCTGCAGCCTGGCCGGCGACATTTGGGCAGCGCTTTCCCAGCCCTGACGCAGAAGGGACTCGCATCCACCCCCACACAGAGCTGGGGGCACCCCAAGCTCCATCACCCCCAGGGGAAGCGGCTGGGGGCCCTCCCCC